CGGGGGACTCAGCCCACCCGACTCCCTCCGGAGGGTGACGTCTCACTTCACATTAACGCTGGAAATGAAAACTGTTTCACAGGAAAGATTATTTATTCTTATTAATATGCAAACTGACTTCTAATTAGCAACAATGTATAAAGACCGCGGGGTGCCATCCGCTCCTTAAAGGGGCGCCGCACGAAAATCCAATATTAGGTGCATGGCAGCCAACGTCAGCATTACTCCAGCTGTAGGGAAGAACAGAACATCGGATACAAAATTCCAACCTGCCCAACTGACGACGGGTCCCTATGGCCTATTTAGAGATATTTTGGGATATCTCTAAACTGATGACCTGTGGGGGGGGGCTTTTAAAGCGTCGTTTATGGACTTTTTGAAGTACTGAAGCTTGTCGCCGTTTCACGGATGCACACAATTTTTAAACTGGCCATGTTGGGTATCTATTTACTCGTTGTAACCTCATCTTTTATATTTGATTTAAAGGAGAACCATGGGGTCAGTGTTTTTCCCCTATAGTTCTCCTTAGGGTAACGGGAGGACACAAACTAGCGTTCTCCCGTCACCCCTAAGCTCAGTATATAGGGAGCTACAGCTCGCGGTATACTGAGACCGCCGCAGCCGGAGCGGATCCCGGCATCGATGTCGGGATCCGCCCAGCTGCGTGAGTGAAAGCTGGCTCTGCCTATCTATGAAGGGGTTAAAGATGATAGAAGGGATCCATGGAATCCTGGGAGCTGGCGTCTTAGGTCAGCCAATAAAAGTGAACGCCCCGAGCTATCTGCACCAACAGACGCCTAACACTCTACAATGTACTAATGAAGTTCGTGGTCGTTGCCGGAGATCACATTTCTCTCTAACGAGGGTCAGACAATCACCTGATACGGCCGGACTTTGTGATGAATCTCCTGGATCCCCACCTCTCTGGTTCTTACGTCACGGCACTGTACAGGAAGAGAACACAACCGCCACCATTAGTCTGTGCAGATGAACTGAGGAGGGAACGTGTCATGTTCCCTCCTCAGTTCAGGAGAACTATGGGGTCAGGGTTTTTCCCCATAGTTCTCCTTAGGGTAATGGAAGGACACAAACTAGCGTCCTCCCGTCACCCTAGGCTCAGTATATAGGGAGCTACAGCTCGCGGTATACTGAGACGCCGCAGCTGAAGCGGATCCCGACAATTATGTCTGTATCCGCCCAGCTGCGTGAGTGACAGCTGGCTCTGCCTATCTAGAGGCAGAGCCAGCTGTACCCGCCCCCTCCCCCGTCCGTTCCGCCAGTCAGCGCTGGAGGATCGGACAGGGGAGCGGGGGATCCCTGCAGGGAGCAGTGAGTGACAGTGCTCACTCACCTCCCGATCTACTGAGCCGACCTGTGACAGTCTCATTGTCACACGTCGGCTAGAACTATGAGGATGAGTGAAATGCCCCTCCCCCCTCATAGTTCTCCTTTAGGCCCCATTCACACTGTGCGATTCGCAAATCGCGCGATTTGCATTTTGCGCGATATCGCGCAAATGCTTGCATTGAAAAGCATTGAATCACGGGAAAATCCGCTCCAAAAAGGGTCCTGCTGTAGCGACGCACGACCCGCAACAGCAGGACCCTTTGCCCCGTTGCCAAGCATTGGAGAGCGATATCGCGCGATAAATCGCTCAGTGTGAACGGGGCCTTAAAGTGGCACTAAACTCCGGAGTTAAATCTACAAAATACAATCAATTACCCTGAACTCTGAACAACAATGTATCATATTTGTGTATCACTCGGCTGTAGATCCTCCAATCATCTAGAGTCCATCCCGGGGGGGCGGAGCTTGGAGCGGTGACTACTTGTCGGTGACTACAACACACACAGGGACTGACACATTCACTGAGGTCCGTAAACAAAATGATTTTCTCAACAGAGCAGATTAGGGAACAGAGGAAAGAATGTGAAAAGGACTCAGAGCTCCGTCTCCCGACTCCAGCTGTGCATGTGACTTGCTGCAGCTTCTAATGCACATTGTGAGAAGCTTCCAGTGTGCAGTGACATCAGAGGAAGAGGGGAGGAGCCGGTACAACTGCGCAAGACTGAAGGGGAGGACGGAGGTCAGATAGAAGACTGAAAGGAAGGACGGAGGTCAGATAGAAGACTGAAAGGAAGGACGGAGGTCAGATAGAAGACTGAAAGGAAGGACGGAGGTCAGATAGAAGACTGAAAGGAAGGACGGAGGTCAGATAGAAGACTGAAAGGAAGGACGGAGGTCAGATAGAAGACTGAAAGGAAGGACGGAGGTCAGATAGAAGACTGAAAGGAAGGACGGAGGTCAGATAGAAGACTGAAAGGAAGGACGGAGGTCAGATAGAAGACTGAAAGGAAGGACGGAGGTCAGATAGAAGACTGAAAGGAAGGACGGAGGTCAGATAGAAGACTGAAAGGAAGGACGGAGGTCAGATAGAAGACTGAAAGGAAGGACGGAGGTCAGATAGAAGACTGAAAGGAAGGACGGAGGTCAGATAGAAGACTGAAAGGAAGGACGGAGGTCAGATAGAAGACTGAAAGGAAGGACGGAGGTCAGATAGAAGACTGAAAGGAAGGACGGAGGTCAGATAGAAGACTGAAAGGAAGGACGGAGGTCAGATAGAAGACTGAAAGGAAGGACGGAGGTCAGATAGAAGACTGAAAGGAAGGACGGAGGTCAGATAGAAGACTGAAAGGAAGGACGGAGGTCAGATAGAAGACTGAAAGGAAGGACGGAGGTCAGATAGAAGACTGAAAGGAAGGACGGAGGTCAGATAGAAGACTGAAAGGAAGGACGGAGGTCAGATAGAAGACTGAAAGGAAGGACGGAGGTCAGATAGAAGACTGAAAGGAAGGACGGAGGTCAGATAGAAGACTGAAAGGAAGGACGGAGGTCAGATAGAAGACTGAAAGGAAGGACGGAGGTCAGATAGAAGACTGAAAGGAAGGACGGAGGTCAGATAGAAGACTGAAAGGAAGGACGGAGGTCAGATAGAAGACTGAAAGGAAGGACGGAGGTCAGATAGAAGACTGAAAGGAAGGACGGAGGTCAGATAGAAGACTGAAAGGAAGGACGGAGGTCAGATAGAAGACTGAAAGGAAGGACGGAGGTCAGATAGAAGACTGAAGGGGAGGACGGAGGTCAGGTATAAGACTGAAGGAGAGGACGGAGGTCAGATAGAAGACTGAAGGGAATGTGGAGCACTTTCTACTCGCACATGGCACTCCTCACCTCCACCATCATCTCACGCTTGAAAGCACCCACCCCAAGGACCCTCCAGGACTGAAGCTGCCACAGACCTACCCACCATCGACAAGGTCTACTTTTACCTCTACTACAAAATAACAAAAATGTAACCTTTGGCTATGGAAACATTGTAATAATAATAATAGTGAGATTCTCCCTCAAGAGACCCCACAGATACCCCTGTGACTGTTGCCCGTACCTCTGTACCAAGATCCTTCATCCGAGCTAAGGCCAGCTCCCGGAGATTCCCGTGCTCCACCCCGGAGCTGACCAGCGGCATGGGAATATCTCTGCGGAAGGGAAAATAAAATGGTCGTTAAATTCATCGTTTGTAGAGCAAAGTTCTTCTTAAAAAATAGAAATCTCTTTATTGGGACGAACGGTACAACTAAATTCCACAATAGCACATACATGTTCTGGGCCAGTGACCCAAAGTACTGAAGCCAGAGGAATGGGGAGATGTCTGTGCTCAAATCCTAACACTTTGCATATGAGATCCTGGCCAGAGAGGGATCGCTTTGACACCGCTGGCCAGAGAGGGATCACTTTAATGCAGGTGGCCAGTGAGGGATCACTTTGAAGCAGCTGCCCAGAGAGGGATCGCTTTGACACAGCTGGCCAGAGAGGGATCACTTTGAAGCCGTTGGCCAGAGGGGGATCCCTTTTATGCAGCTGAGCAGAGAGGGATCACTTTGATGCAGCTCGCCACAGAGAGATCACTTTGATGCAGCTGACCAGAGGGGGATCCCTTTAATGCAGCTGGCCAGAGGGGGATCCCTTTTATGCAGCTGAGCAGAGAGGGATCACTTTGATGCAGCTCGCCACAGAGAGATCACTTTGATGCAGCTGACCAGAGGGGGATCCCTTTAATGCAGCTGGCCAGAGGGGGATCCCTTTTATGCAGCTGAGCAGAGAGGGATCACTTTGATGCAGCTCGCCACAGAGAGATCACTTTGATGCAGCTGACCAGAGGGGGATCCCTTTAATGCAGCTGGCCAGAGGGGGATCCCTTTTATGCAGCTGAGCAGAGAGGGATCACTTTGATGCAGCTCGCCACAGAGAGATCACTTTGATGCAGCTGACCAGAGGGGGATCCCTTTAATGCAGCTGGCCAGAGGGGGATCCCTTTTATGCAGCTGAGCAGAGAGGGATCACTTTGATGCAGCTCGCCACAGAGAGATCACTTTGATGCAGCTGACCAGAGGGGGATCCCTTTAATGCAGCTGGCCAGAGGGGGATCCCTTTTATGCAGCTGAGCAGAGAGGGATCACTTTGATGCAGCTCGCCACAGAGAGATCACTTTGATGCAGCTGACCAGAGGGGGATCCCTTTAATGCAGCTGGCCAGAGGGGGATCCCTTTTATGCAGCTGAGCAGAGAGGGATCACTTTGATGCAGCTCGCCACAGAGAGATCACTTTGATGCAGCTGACCAGAGGGGGATCCCTTTAATGCAGCTGGCCAGAGGGGGATCCCTTTTATGCAGCTGAGCAGAGAGGGATCACTTTGATGCAGCTCGCCACAGAGAGATCACTTTGATGCAGCTGACCAGAGGGGGATCCCTTTAATGCAGCTGGCCAGAGGGGGATCCCTTTTATGCAGCTGAGCAGAGAGGGATCACTTTGATGCAGCTCGCCACAGAGAGATCACTTTGATGCAGCTGACCAGAGGGGGATCCCTTTAATGCAGCTGGCCAGAGGGGGATCCCTTTTATGCAGCTGAGCAGAGAGGGATCACTTTGATGCAGCTCGCCACAGAGAGATCACTTTGATGCAGCTGACCAGAGGGGGATCCCTTTAATGCAGCTGGCCAGAGGGGGATCCCTTTTATGCAGCTGAGCAGAGAGGGATCACTTTGATGCAGCTCGCCACAGAGAGATCACTTTGATGCAGCTGACCAGAGGGGGATCCCTTTAATGCAGCTGGCCAGAGGGGGATCCCTTTTATGCAGCTGAGCAGAGAGGGATCACTTTGATGCAGCTCGCCACAGAGAGATCACTTTGATGCAGCTGACCAGAGGGGGATCCCTTTAATGCAGCTGGCCAGAGGGGGATCCCTTTTATGCAGCTGGCCACAGAGGGATCACTTTGACGCAGCTGGCCAGAGAGGGATCACTGACGCAGCTGGCCAGAGAGGGATCACTTTGACGCAGCTCGCCAGAGAGGGATGACTGACGCAGCTGGCCAGAGAGGGATCACTTTGACGCAGCTCGCCAGAGAGGGATGACTGACGCAGCTGGCCAGAGAGGGATCACTTTGACGCAGCTCGCCAGAGAGGGATGACTGACGCAGCTGGCCACAGAGGGATCACTTTGACGCATTTGGCCAACTTGAGCACGTATTGCCTTATATGTGCACCAAGAATCCCTGTTTTGCCAGCACTATGTCAGGGTGTACAGCAGTGAGCAGAGGGTTAATTCCAAATTTTTAGGTATTTTTTTCTCCGGGACAGATTTGCCGCTTATGGTAACACAATAGACGCCTGCAATAGATACAAACTTGGCAGAACATTCGAAGCGCTCCGTCCATTAGGACGTAGACCCGTCTGTATCCTCTTGGCTTTCAAGTAGCTGAGATACTTGAGGGAGACACTTGTATGGTAATGCTCCTCCGAGGATGCTCTGAACATCTGGGCTCTACAATGGGATCTGAGAACACTAATGGAAGTAGAGAGCACGGCTCTGACATGGAGAGGACGGCTCCTAATTAGAGACTTCTGCCACTACTTGTCACTGGCATCTTAGACACGCCACCAAGTTTAATTGAGAGACTCTGTAGGCGAGAATTAAAGTTTAATGGTAAAGTCTACAGCTGGGTGACGCAGAAGACCACCTGGCGGCCATTTTGTGCCCTTGGCCACTGACCGCATTTACAGGAACTGATCAGGTGACAAAGGCCGGCCAATACAGATGGCTATCCAGGGCAGTGGTTGTCAACTTACAAGGCTACAACTGTGGGCCCCCCACCCCGGCATCACTGAAGCAGCCGCGCATAATATTCAGTATATATAAAGCTACTGAAGACCGTCATAGACTGCGGACAATACTATTATTATTAGGGCTGCAACAACTAATCGACATAATCGATTATAATCGATTATTGAAAAAGTTGTCAACTTTTTCAATAATCGATTCATCGGCTTCCGATCAGTTGGCCCTGTTCACGGCTCCACACACGCTGCGCGCCGCACCTCTTCCCCACCTCACGCTCGCCGCTGCCAGACCCGCCCGCCCGCATCCACGCCGCACCTCCTCCCCGCCTCACACTCACCGCCCGCCCACATCCACGAAAAAAACCCCCCCCCCCCCCCCCCACGCTCGGACTTACCCAGCCAGAGGACCGCAGCCAGGGAGTTTCGATTTGAGCACTGCAGGGGGCGGGGCTTGTGACACACACACGCCTACTGTGACTCACCGCCCCTCCTGCTGCCTGTTACTATGGACGCGGCCGGGAGGGGAGGGGAGTCACAGGACCCGCCTCCTCACTGTGAACACCGGGACCGTGCACTGCCAAAAAAAAAATCAGGATCAGACCCCACTGAGGCTGTGGGGGAGCCCAGGACCGGACCCCACTGGGCCCCCCCACAGCCACAGGCCCCGGTGCTCCGGCACCAGCTGTATTTCCGCCACTGGGTGAGAAACTGATTAGGGGGGACAGGGAGAGAAAGTCCAGTTTGTAGCCCTGGGATACCACCTTCCATACCAAGCGTCAGAGATGCAAGCTGTCCAAGCATCTGCTAAGCTTAACAAGCGTCTCCCCATTCTGTAAAGTTCACCTCCATGCAGGAGAAGGCCTGTGTAAGGATTTGTCAGACTGAGTGCCAGACCTCGTGCGTGGACAGTGAGGAGGTCAAGGGAGTGGAGGGACGTTTCTTAACATTGCAGTCTGTTCCTTAGTCCTTTTCTGATGAGGAAAATGGGTGCTCCTGTCGCCAGTAGTATTGTTGAAGATGTTGTCCAGAGGCCTTGACCCTCAAAAGCCATGAGCATCAAACACTTATTACACAGGGAGTCCGTAGTAAAGTACGGTAGCCAAATGTGACACACAAGACACATGCAAGAGAAGAGATGGAAGGCTCCCAGCAAATTATCACAGCTGGAACCTAACTCCACAGCCATCTGCTCCACTCGTTCTATAAGTGAGGGATCAACTGCAGCATTCTCTTTTAAAGGATTTTGATACATAATTTGACGTCCAACATAATTTTGGCTTCCATCCACTTACTGGTTTATTACTTAAAGGAGAACTATGAGGGGAGTGACTCATCCTCATAGTTCTAGCCGACGTGACAATGAAACTGACACAGGTCGGCTCAGTAGATCGGGAAGTGAGCGAACACATACTGTCGCTCGCTCACTTCTCGATCTATCCCTGCATGGAGCCGTGACTGTCACTCACTGCTCCCTGCGGGGATTCCCCCCCCCCAGATCCTAATAGGTTGGACTTGATGGACTAATGTCTTTATTCAACCTCAAATACTATGTAACTATGTAACTATGTAACAGTGGGAATAGACCGCTTTTGCACCGCTCACCAAACTGATCCAAAAGGCAAATAAGGGTTTAGGAGGAACAAACAGCTCATTAGGATGCTTCCAAGCTCCATATAGAAATGGGTGCAAAGGGAAAGTCTGGAAACAGCGCTGACAGGAGCAACAAGCTGATCCTCTAACTTCCGAGTGGTGAGCCCCGGGATCAATAAGAACCGTTGACTCCATAAATAGCCCCATTTACCTTTGGGAGTCATTGCAGTAGACTGTGCGACTCCTCAGGGGTAATACCATCAGTCAAGGACTGGAGCAACTCAGCGTCAGCTTCTGTGGCCGATGGCTTGGAAGCTTCTAAGGCCGCAGGCGAGTCCCATATGTGCCAGTCTACAATTAATGAACAATTATTGGCAGGAGAGGAAAGAGGGTTTTCCCCGCACGTCTCTTCTGCCATAAAACTCTACCTGCTGGCGATCTTTAGAGCGCTGAGCTTAGTTCCACTTTAAGAGCACGGCCTCGTAATTGATTTCCATTGTAAGTTTTTTTTTTTATTGCATCGGTCAATCACACCGAGAAACAAAAACATGGAGCGGCTATATATTTTCCATGATGTAACCTTTGCTGTTCCAAGTGTTAATCTCCGCTGCATCTAACACACATGTAGAGGATCATGGGAAGGAGAGGGACTGCTGTAATGTAATCTAGATGGGGGCTACAGTAGGCATCACGGCATGTCAACAACGTAATACACCCCCAGAGCAAGCCGGCTGCCAGCCGTGTACTTCTCATTACAAGCCAACGCACATTGCCCCGGGACGCAGAGCACGAGGTATTAGTGTGGACATCGGGTCACCGACACAACACGGAAATGATTTACTCCAGCTCAGGAAAATGGAAGGCGACAAGACGCAGAATATACGGAAAATACACAATTCCAATATTTTACAGTACAGCAACGGTGCAATAATATACCGTATATACCGGCGTATAAGACGGGGTTTTAGACCCAAAAACACTGCCCGAAAATCGCTTCGGCTACATACAGTATACCGCGCTGAGCCAATCACGGCAGGCTTTGTATTCATTAATACAAAGCCAGTATTAATGAATACAAAGCCTGCCGTGATTGGCTCAGCGCGGTATACTGTATGTAGCCGAAGCGATTTTCGGGCAGTGTTTTTGGGTCTAAAACCCCGTCTTATACGCCGGTATATACGGTATACAAAGCCAGTATTAATGAATGCAAAGCCTGCCGTGATTGGCTCAGCGCGGTATACTGTATGTAGCTGAAGGACAGAAGATGGAGCATGCTGTGGGGATCGTGGACAAGGTAAGAGACTGTAATCCCGAGTGTAGCTCGGGGGTTACCACTTCTGGTACTGAAAATTAACCCCGAGCCGCACTCGGGAATACCGCCATGGAGGTTAGTGGGTCCATTTAAACATTATTTTGGGCTATACTCGTCTTATACGACGAGTATAGTCCAAAACCTATATTTTAACACAAAAAGTAGGGGGTCGTCTTATACGCCGGCAAATACAGTAATAATTATTTCCCACTTCTCCTCCTATAAAGATTCCACTATTAAAAAGGTTCGCTAAAATGGTTTGGGCTCAACTTTATTTTACTTGGATGGTCTAGTAGTTCGGCCCCAGAAAAATATCAGCCGAAAATGGCACTTTTGGCAAAATACAGAAAGTGCAATTTTCTGGCCAAAATAGCTGTGTACCCGTTCTTTCTCTCCTCCCCGCCGGGCGCTGCTCTGTGTCCCAGCGGGGAGGAGAGAAACTGTCACAGGAGGCCGAGCGCTGTGGGAGGAGAGTGCTGTGAGCGGCTGGCTTCTCTCCTCCCCGCACCCCTCGTTCAGCCGCCTGTGACAGCGCGTCAGAGAGGAGAGCGGGTGATCAGTGATCGCTGAGTGTTTGTAGATAATTGAGCACAGAGTATGGTTACTATATCCTTAATTATGAATGAATGGGAAGGGATCTACATCACATCTGCATCACTTCCTGTCCATTCATGATTGTGGATATAGTAAACACACTCTGTCCTCATGTTATGAATGAACAGGAACACTCAGCATAGAGGATTCCTGTTAATTGATAACGGGGGATACAGAAAAAGAGATTGAGGGCTCTGCGCGTCTCTGAGTGTCACTAAGGGCTCTGCGCGTCTCTGAGCGTCACTAAGGGCTCTGCGCGTCTCCGAGCGTCACTAAGGGCTCTGCGCGTGTCTGTGGGCTCTCTGCGTCTCTGAGGGCTCTGTTTCCTCAATCTCTTTTTCTATTGTAAAAGGGAAATATCAGGTTTCTGTTTAGACCCCCCAATATTTCCCAGAAGCCCCTAAAAGTTACACAAAAATTTAATAAATATGAATAAATGAAAATAAAATTTTAAAAAAATGTAAAAGTTTATTAAAAAAATGAATAAAAATTAAATATTTTTAAAATTAGAAAAAGTTAGAATAAAAAAAATGTTTGGTTTTGCCCTAAAAAAAATT